GGGGGGGGGGGGGGGGGGGGAGTGTGAGTGGATGCATCACGCTTCCCCATATTTTGCTGCTACTTAGACTCAAAACCACTGTCTCCATGCATCCTCAGATTTTGGGCCAAATTCTGATTGCATCCGCTGATCCAGTTTTGGGCAGGGGGCAAAGGCTTACCTCTTCTTGAAGTCAAGGAAATTTAACTCAGTGTACTGCCCGCAGAGCTGGTTGGCCTTTTCCAGAAAGCGGGGCAGCTCTTCTCCCATCTGCTGGCGCTGAGTGGCAGAGGGTGGCTGTAAGCAGGCTGGGAAAAATCTCTGCAGGGATTTTGAGGGAGATGGGGCCAGGGTGGGAAGAGCAGAGTGAGACAACGGAGCCATCCACTCCCCTCACCTTGCTGTCCAGGCAGGCAGAGGTGTCCTTTGCAGAGCAGCACTCCCCCCTGACTTTTTCGCTGGCATCGTATAGTTTGCCAAGGAAGGTGTCAGGGACACTGGTGTGTCTCCGTGCTAGCTCAAACAGGTACCTGGAGTGGGAAAAACGAGTCGCCGTATGAGTTTTCATTACTGGTGCTGCTCAGTGTGGGATGGGGGCTGCTTTTTGCATCTTGTGCAGCTCCTGGGTGCGACACCGCTGAGAGAAGAGAGGATGCTCCCCTGGTTATCCTAGTAATAATCAAAGCATATAACGAAGACAAGTGGAGAAGGAAAGGTCAGGTACTCAGTCAGCATGGGTACCACTCACCTCTTGGCATAGAGAGCCCCATCCTCACTGCACAGCTGCTTGTTCATTGGCTTCTGAGCCTCTGGCAGTTTGGGGGCAGGTGCTGGTGGCAAAGCCGAGATGCAGAAATAGTTTTGCATGAGGTTTGTCCCCTTACAGCAGTCAGCAAACCTTTCGTCTTGGGTTGACAGTGCACTGCAGACCTTAGCTGTGTGCTCAGATAGCTGCAAAGAGGGGAGCAGAGGGTGTGTGTGATTCAGTATCCTGCTGGGACTGGTGAGGCTGCAACTCCCTCACCGTGATGGGGTTCACTCCCTAAGCCCCTGCTGTGAGTTGGGATGTGGTTTTGGGGTGGGGTCCTGTCTCCCCTACCTTCTTCTGCATGCAGTCCTCGGCCACTGAGTCACAGCACTCAGAAAACACCTCAGCAGCATCTTCTGCCAGGGGGAAGAGGTCCTCGAAGGAAGCACTGGGCATCTTCTGGGCAAGCGAGGTGAGGTAGCTGGGCAGGCACAAGGCATAAAAGGGGCTTAGGGAGCTCAGCTCCCCTTCCCCTGCTAACAGCTCAGAGAAGGGGTTTCGCCACATAGACATGCAGGAGGGAGATGATGTGGAGCCATGGGGCTCGCTCTGTGCTGCCGCTATACACAGGGCGTTCCCACTGGATGCTACAACACACTTGTTTTTAAATCTTAATTAAAATTTAGCTTTGTGAACGCTGCCTCAGAGCAGGATCTGCAGCTGCAAACAGGAACACGCTCCCACCCTGACCCATGTTCAAGGAGAGAAAAGGCCATTTCCCCCTTTTACCTGAAGGTGACTTTGCCCTTCCCATATGCCGTGAAGCGGGAGCAAACCCGGTTTGACATCAGGGTGAGGAGGGAGAGGGTTTTCCTTTCCAGTTTCTGACACAAAAAGAAGATGGAGGTGTCCTCCAAGGGAAATGCAAGCCTTTCCCAGCCACCACCTTTCCTTGGGCTGCCAGCATGATTCTCACCCGGCTCACCAAGGAGCAAGGATGAGGATGAGTCCAGGGGTCCAAAGGGCCTCACCTCCTTCAGAAAGCAGGCAGTGGGTGCAGGGGAGATGCAGCAGGTAGAGACCATGGAGAGGAAGGTCCTGGTGGAGCCAAGGAGCACAGGCAGGGGCGCCTGGCCATAGCTGCTGGCATACTCGTGGAGAAACCTGTGGCGGACGTGGGCTGAGAACACCCGGCACTCTGTGATTGGGTGCTCAGGTGCAGGAGATGTAGGGGTTTTGGGGTGTTAGTGGCTGGGAAGCCCTCTCCAGGTACCACCCCGTGCTTCTGGCTTATTGTGCCCTTCTCCAGCCACTCACACAGGCAGTGTCACCCCTCATCGCATTGGTAAAATTCTGTTCCCGGGGCTTGTGCAAATGCAGGACACTCTGACATTTTACTCTGATGCACCGGTAGCCCCACAGCCATGAAATCAGAGGGGTGAGACTGGGACAGGTTTGCTTGGTGAGCACCCAGACATCATCTGGCACCGGCACATACCTGGGCTCAACCAGACATTACTGACAAGACTGAGCACCATCCCCAGCCCAGCTTACCTGTCGGCAAAGTCCTTGGGGTCCTTTTTGAAGGCCTGGCAGAGCTCTTCGTTGGAGGGCTGGACGTAGCGGGGCAGCTCCTGGGGCGGGTGCTGCAAGGCGGCCAGACACAGCTTCTGCTCCAGCCCCTCTTGGGCGCAGCACCCAGCCGTGCCAGCATGGGCTGGGAAAGGTGAGTCCTCACCACAGGATTTGGCTGACAGAGCTGAGGACTGTGGGAGGGAGAGGAGGTTACATGCCAGGGGCCATCCTATCCCCCCACTCCCAGTTTTGGGGTCCATCACCCAGCTTCGGTCGGCCTCACCCCGGCATCGTAGCAGGAGGGGTCAGCACCTTCAGCGCAGCAGGTTTCAGCCAGGGAGACGATTTCTGCAACGAGGTGACTGATCTCCTCAAAGGTGGCATTGGAGAATTTTCTGCTGTTAGCAATAATGGTTCTGGGAGCAGGGAGCAAGGAGAGGATGAGCTGGTGGCATGTTTATTTCTCTTATAAAAAAAAAATCACATTGCAGCATCATTCTGTCAAAACAGGGTTTAACACTGTCAGCTGGAGAGGAGCAGCTGCAGCACTGCAAGAAATAGCAGCATAGTCCTTGGAAAATAGCTAGGAAAGACCCAGAGCGGGTCTCAGGGTGGGGGCTGCCCTTTCCAGGGGATTGTGGGCCATCTCTGTTAGAATTGCTAATTATTTAGGCACCTTATTGGTTTTGAGGAGTTAAAAAATAAAGCAAACTTTTCTCCTGTTACAAGCCATCGGAGTCCTCATTTGCAGGGAGTTTTTTTTTTTTTTTTTTTTTTTTTTTGGTCTTAGCTTAGGTGCTGAGTGTCCTGGGAGGGCAAATATGGCAGGAGGTACCTACAGGGTTCGGAAGTTCTCCTTCCCCAGGACCTTGAACTCCTGGCAGACTTTGTCCCGGACATAAGCTTTACCTGTAAGTGCAGGAAAAGGATTTGAGAGCAGGATTTGTGCCTTGGTTCATTTCCAGCAATCTTTCCCCTTGCAACAAAAAACCCCCAACAACAACAAAGCGGCATGACTCGCTTAATTGACTCTCCTACCTACAGAAAATAACTTGGGTCTTTTGCTTTTTGCCAGGGAAAACGATCATTTGGGGAACTGCCTGTTCCCACTTGACCCTCTATTTTTCTCTCACTTTCTGCTTTCCTCCCTGGCAGCAGCAGCAGCAGCAGCAGCATGGGAATGAGAGATGCTACACCACCACAAAATGTGGTCTAAAGGCTGCAGGGCTCTTGCTTTATTCCCTTGAGGATTATTATTTTTTTATGCAATTGCTTCTTTTCTCAAGTCATAGTCCCTGGGGAGATGCTGCTCCAGCTCTGCAGGGAAAGGAGCAGGGGAAAACCCTTTGCTGTATCTGGGACAGCTACAGGTAAAACATTAGGTGTGTTCACCCCTTGACCAAATGGACATTTCTGTGTGTTTGAAATGCATGGTGTTAGTTTTTCTGGCAGGTTTTGGAGAGTGTAAAGGCCGGGAGCTCTTGAGATGGGAACCCAGAGGTCAGGAACACCCAGCAGTGAAGACATCCCCAGCAACTCTCTCATCCCGGGAAAAATGGCATTGATTTTTGCTACAAATGACATTGGTTAGACTTTGGTACTGGCAGAGTAAATACTGATACCAACTATTTACTGGTATTACAGTGCAGAGCAGGGTCATTTCCCCAAAACTGAAGGGTTATGTGCTGTTACACTGAAGGTCACATTGCTTCAGTGGGAAAGAAAGGGTGAGGGGACTTTTGCAAGGCTGGTAGCACCAGGGAAAAAAAAAAAGAGGAAGCTGTGGTAAAAGGCAATTCCCTTTCCTTGCAGAAACAGTGGCTATTGGTCCTGCTGTAGAGGACCAACTTGTTGCATTTCTTTTTGTTTTCATGAAGTGTTATGGGAGAAGTAAGTTTCAAGGGAGCTTTTAGGCAAGTGGATGATTCTGGAGCTGTAAAGGCAGCAAGGGGTGACACAGAGCATTGTTTCCATCTGAGGGGTGGGTTTTACAGTGAAATGGTGCTTGTGAAAGGGGGTCAGAAAATCTTGTTTTCCCATGCACAGGGAAGGAGCCAGGCCCTGTGACACTGTCCTCTCCTCCCTCTGCCCCCAACCCCAGCCCAGCCTCTTCCTCTCCCAGCTCCTCCAGCATCCCCCCAAAGGGACATCCCAAGTGCCAAAACATGCCTTCCCCCCATGCTTTCCCTTTCCCCTCTCTGATTCCTACCCGGTGAGTCACCAGTGGGCTGGGGAGAGGGGAGACCACCGAAAACCACCAGAGCTGGTGGTCCCCAGCCTCATACCCCTTGTTTGTCCCCAGGGGAGAGCAAAGCCCCAGGTGTGTGATAAATGTCCTTACCTCTGTGCTCAGCATGCGTGGTGGCTAAAAGCAGCAGCAGGGTGAGAGCTACCTTCATGTTGGGGCTGGTTTCCTTCCTCCTGCTGAAGAATGGCACTGGGAAACCCATCCTAGCTTTTATATGGATGGGTTGCCAATTACCGGGTGAATGATTAATCCCATTGGCGGGGTAGAGGGTGAGCATCCTTGGCCTGCCTGCCACAGCCTGGGTGCCAGCGCCTCCAAAATCAGACTGATTTTAATCATTAACTTGGCAAAATGTGGATGCATTGCTGCAGGACCTAAGGGAGAGTCCTCCTGCCTGTGATGGATGATGGGCGCAACATGAACGACAAGAGGAGATGTGCCGGGCAAAGTATCCCGTGCAAGTGGCAAAGCCGTGTGTGGTCAGGCCAATAAATGGTCCTCCCAGCCCCGTGTGAGGAAGGACCCCAGACTTTTTGGGTGCAAGCAGACAAAGTTCTCCCAGGGCAGTGATTAGGTGGGGACAACTGCTCTGTGAGAAGATGGTTGCCTGATGCAATGCCCTGCTCTGCCATGACCATGTTGCACAGATGCTGGGTCAGGGTGGCTCGCACTCAAGATGACCAATGGCCAGAGGTTGCACATGCAGGTGCCCAGAAGTTTGCTGCTTTCTGAGAGCATTAATTGCTTTTTCCCCTCCTTGGGCTGACAGCAGAGCCACCTGGGAGCTGCAGCAGAAGAGGTGGCGGGTGCTGTATATGGCACAGCAGGGTGCTTGGGCTCGGGGAAAGAGAGACCATGGAGCCACTAAGGTCAGAGCAGCTTATTTATTCAGCCTTTGGAAGGCAGACAGCAGGCATCATGACCCAAGAGTGCTGTAAAATAAATATCTAGCAAATACCACCCCGGGTTACTGGTGTTTGCTGAAGCAACTGGCTCCTCTTGAGTGGCTTCCTGTGGGCGGACAGACCGATGACACCCTGGAGCTTATTAGCAGCTTAGTTGTGGCTAGAGCAACCAGATCTTAAATATCCCTTTCACCAGGCAAGAATACAGAGAGTTTGCAGCTGTTTGGGGCGTGTGAGATGGCTGCTACTAGTCTTGGGCTACCCTCCAAATCTTGCAGTGGTGAGCTTGTTTCCTGGGACAGTCCTGCAATAGTTGTGGTTTACAGGTGGCTCTGGGTTAAAACAGAGGTGACAAGGACTGCGTGCACCTCCAGATGTGTGGAGAAGTGGGTTTTCTTGCTTTTGCTGGGACTAAAGGTGCTTTTCCCCTGTGCGCAGCCCCACCTAGGTGTATGTGCCAGCTGAGATGCTCTTCCGTACAGTGGCAATATTTTTAGACCTGGGGAATAATAGAACCAGAAGCAGCAGCATACTGTGGATACTCGGAAGGATTCAGGGCTATTAGAGTTCAGAGGAGGGTTTGATTACGCTGTGCTTGTGGAAGCAGTCTAGGTAATGGGCTATTTGGGTATAAACACAGATATTTGGTCTCTTTTGTGACTACTCTGTATGAATCAAGTTGTAATTTCCCAGAAGCTTGATGTTGAGTCACTACCTATTCAGCCTGTTTTGAACAAAAACGTGCGTATGGCTTAAACCAGATGGAAGATAATTGCTTGTAAAATCACTGCAATCTAGGGGTATGTGTAACAACTCATCAGGATGTGAAAAATTACTAAAACTGGTGGTGTGCTAGGCTGAAACCAGCCAGTCCTCCACCCTCAGGTGTGGCAGGGGCCTCCTGCCTGTGTCCCCCACCAGATTTGGCCCCTCTGGGATCCCGCTTCACCATCCTGGTGCACCTGCATCATCTGGGACTTGGGTTCTGCACTGTGCCTCTCCTGAACACAATGAGAGGGGGATGGGTGCGCTCACTGTCCTCAGGCGCTTCTATAAGGTGTGTGTGTGTATTGATGCCCAATTACAGGAGATGTGCATATGCCAGGTATGCATATAAGATGTCCCATATATGATGTTCCCCCGTCTCTAGTCTCATATTTTCAGCAGGGGAAGTTAATTATAAAAATCACAGAATGGTTTGGGTTGCAAAGGACCTTAAAGATCATCTAGTTCCAATCCCTCTGCCATGGGCAGGGACACCTTCCACTAGACCAGGTTGAAGAATTAGAGAAGAAAATCCAAATGAGACCAAGAAACACATCAGAAAATACTTAAGCGAAAACGTAAACACCCACCTAATGTAACAAAATGCTGTATATTTGCCAGGAAGGTGGTCCTGCCTCTTGTCCTTGCTCAGCAGCTGCTCAGGTCATGCCTGCCTGCTCACCCCAGGCAGTGACAAGGGCAGGATTTTGGAGGTAGTTCCTTTCAAACTGCTTGCATAAATCCTTGTCATGCATAATAATTAAGAGACACCAGGCTGTGTCTCCTGGTGCACGCCAGGGCCAGCACACTGGTGCTGGTCCATACCTCCGTGTCTCCTTCCCTGAGAAACCATCCCATGAGTGTGGGCAGCATCGATGATTCCCTCCATGCCAGGGCGTTAAACACTGCAGGATCGGCAGCATCCAACACTGCTGGGAAATGTCGGCAGTTATCCTGGGAAGCTCAACTCCAGAGAGTGCCTCAGCAAGTTGTACAGCATCGGGGTAAATTCCTGTCCCTGCAGCTGCTGGGCTAGGGTGTCTGGGGCGGGGG